CAAATAAGCTAATTTGTAAAAAGCTAAAAAATAGAGCTTTTTAGATTAGCTTATTGAGTAATGGATGTCAAATGACAATTTTATCCTAAAAACTTACTCTAATTTACATTCTTGCCCTCCCACTTTCTTACCCTAGTCAAGTAAAAATAAATTGTCAATGCCCTAAATTGTCATTTCAATTCATGTGTTCAACTAACAACCAGCTACAACTAATAAACTAATTTTATCAAACAACTCTACATAATAATCTCCTACCAATCAGCTAGTCAATCAAGCAAATGCAACCAGCTCTTACCAAATAAGACCTTTTTTGTTTTATATAAGCATACAAGTTTATTCAAATTAGGAATTAGACCAAATTGTTCTTTTTTACCAAATGAGAGCACATTATTCCAAGTGAAAATCGAGTACACATCCTTACATCAAAAAATCTTGCAGGTCCACAAAAATATTATTGTGAACCCGAGGTTATACACACTCAACTGACTTTAAATGGAACATAGTGACCCTATTTCTAACATAGCAACCTTATTTTTAACATAGTAATCTTTATTAAAACTTGTATGACATTTTATTATTGTGAACCTGAAATACGACGATATGTTAAATATAGTACCCTAATTTTAATATATAGTAACCTTTACTACTTATATTGACCAGTATATAACAATTTTATTAAAAACAAAAAAAAAAATAATTATTATACCCTTTATAATTTCATAATGACTTTTATTTCAACATATTTCATATAGTGATCTTTTTTCTATTACTAAAATAATTATAGAGTCTCTAATATTAGTGGTCCACAATAAATTAGTGTGGACGAAGTTCATTTAAGAGTTTATCTCCTTACATAAGATGCAATTGATAGAAAATACTTGAGACTCTTTTTGGCTAAGTAACCTTCTCCTTTAATTTCATCATCAGGCAACCACCACATTGTTTATTGTGGTAATATCTCTATTAGATACTTTCTCCGTTTCTTTAATTTAGTCACGCTTTTTTAATTTAGTCACGTTTGTCAGTGCACAAATTCAACCGCTAATATCTTTAATTACCGATAAGCAAAAATTATAAAAAGTTGATATTTTGATAATATATAACGTGACGAAACTAACAAGACCCCACACACATGACTATATTTATTATGTATAAATTACAAAATATTGTCAAAAAGAAATGTGTGAATAATGCTAAAGTCAAAATGTGTCAATTATAAAAACGAAAGTAATATGTCATTTATCTCTTTGCATCTTATTATTACATGCATCTTGTTATCTTTGGGATATTATTGTATAATCTTTAGCATCTTTATGATATAATATATAACTTAGTCGTTAAGGATGAATTAGATCAGAATTTGACTCCCCTTTTGTAACATTACATATAAATAGTATCATTTCTTGAGTATAATTAAGCTTTTTCACTTTCTCTTCTCTAATCTTTCTTATAGCTACTTCGTATATCATATGGTATCATAGTACTCCGTATTGATTTGTTGTGTAAAGTACATGTACTGTTGACGTGTCTTGTCTCATAAATGAAGGTTTATTATCAACTGTGTATCTTTCCTTTTAAAAATGATGTTATACGTAATATAACATTCCCAATCAGGGACGAAGTCAGCATGTTAAAGCTTTAGGAGTCGACTAACACTTTAATAAAAAAAAATTAATGTGAAAATAGTTGATACTTTAATTGTACGAAAAAAAAAAAATTATTAGTGAATCTATTTTTAATCCATGCATTCTACTAAAATATACATTTGTTAAAAAAATTTCTTTGAGATATCCTACATATCACAATTATCAAAATTATAAAATACATATCAATTTTGATGATATGCAAACACTTCCTCTGTTCTTCTTGCATACTTCGTATATGCCTAGTTTTATTAAGACAAACTTCATAATATGTTTCATTAACCATCAATATATCTAATTAAGTCTTTGTAAACATTACAAAAAAAAAAAAATATATACGAAGTATTAATAAATTGAGATGAATTTTATAAGATCATTTTAATTATATTATATCTTATTTATAAATAGCAAGCGACAAACAAAGTAGCTTAGGTGAATAAGGGGAAAAAAAATTAAAATGGATCATGTTTTGGGGTTTTTTGGAATCCCTCGGGATACAGGTTTTAAATACAGTCGGACGGTCTTGGACACCTGCAAAGTAACGAATATTCCATTTCACAGAATATTCGCCTCCGACGATCAAGTTAGTGATCGAAAAACGAAGTAATGTAGAGAGAGAAAGTAGAGAGAAGTTGGAGCTATTTAGTGCTCTTGAATGATATCTCTTAATCCACCCCTCCCATCATAAATGATTGGGGTATTTATAGGGTTGGGAAAGTGTGTCATCTAGGGTTTGATGACCTAGAATGGTGTGCTCTGATTGACAGCGCAATCAGGAGAGGACATGTGTCCTTTGGGGGCGCCGCTTTTAGCGCTATTCTCGGGATTTGGGCCTCCTGATGTAAGGTGGCCTTTCTCTCATTCAGATGCTCTTAGGGTTGTCACGTGTCATCTTCCTATAGGGACATGTGTCATCCTTTTTATTAGGCCACGTGTCACTATGGAATTGGACCACGTGTTGGGGTATTTTTTACCCTACACAGATCATCTTAAAAAGTTTAGTAATGAGTAAACTAATGCTAGTATTTAACCCTTAAACCTTAGCAATTAACATTATAAAGAAGAATTTTACAAATTATTGTAAAAATTGAGGAAAAAAAATATTGATAAACAAATCAACAATGATGAAGCTCATCGGTTATTGGAAGTAAAAGTCCCTCGAGTAGGGTTCCTGTAAAACCTCTGCTAGGGTTTAGGGTGCATGGTAGTATACTTCGATTTTCTGTGATCGTAAGTGAAATTGAATCCTTGATTCCTAATTCGTTTGACTGCGGGGTGGGGTATTCTTGATCTTGAGCCTCGATGGCCAAAGATTTGGTTAGGGATTGGGAAAAACTCAAACTAACGGATGATGAGATCATTGTGTTGGGTGATGGTTCGGGTGTAGAGTCCGATGTCAATTCAAAAGGTGAAATTAGATCTTTCTCTGGTGGGGAAGATGCTAACAATGAAACCCTATAACGTAGAAGCGATGAAGAGAGTTTTGAAAGGTCTATGGAGGTTGTCCGATGAAGTGGCTATACGTGTGATCGATCAAAATCTGTTTGTGTTTCAATTCTTCAATGTTGAGGACAAGCAACGAGTTCTTGATGGCAGGCCATGGACTTTTGACAAACAACTTTTGCTATTGAAATCCATGAACAGCGACGAACAACCATCTGAAGTTGCGTTCGATAGATGCCCTTTTTGGGTTAGAGTCCTCGATGTTCCTTTTGGCCGAAGGAGTTCCACCTTTGCTCGCGAAGTGGGTGATGCCTTAGGTGGTTTCTTGGATGTTGATGATGAGGACCTTCTTGGGTGGGATGAATTTATGAGAATAAAGGTGTTGATGGACATTATGAAACCCCTACGAAGAGGAATTAAAGTTGTTGTGGGAAATTCTATGGCGAAGTGGGTTGGTTTCAAATATGAGAGGTTAGGAGACTTTTGTTATTTCTGTGGTAGATTGGGGCATCTTGATAAAGACTGTCTTGAGCAAGAAGTGGTGGAAGAGGAGCGCTCACTGGTTTTCCAGTATGGCCCGTTTATGATGGCATCTCCTCACCAAAGGCCACGGATTTCAGCGATCGATAGGGAAAGAGAAAAGAAGTGGGTTGAAAATCTATCATGCCTGAGACATGTAAAACGCATGACCTACAATAATCCTAATGCTATCAAACTTGGCCCCCCTAGCACTGCTAAAAAAATGTTGTTTACCCTTGAGAATCCGGTTGGGCTCGTAGAGCCAAAGGCGAGAGAGGCTAAGTTGGTAGCTATGGCTGATGGGGAAAGCAAGAACATTGTTTTACGAACAGTGGCTGCCACCCAGTCTAGGAATCCACAGCCAAATGTTGGCTCTAATTGTTCGGCAGGGGAGGAGAATGAAGAGGTATAGGAGGGAGATGTGGTCAAGGCTGCAACTCAAAATCTGGTGGAGGAGGTGATGGGGGATGTGGGAGTAAGCCGGTGTGCTAGTGTGAACAGGAGTGGCATTGAATTTGGGGTAGTTGATATGGATATTTAGGAGAACAATGGGATTGAGTGGATGGGGAAAAAGAAAGGAAGTCTACGGCTCGCCCTGATGACGAGGAGGATGGAGAAGATGTCATCCGTGAAAATAGAGGTAGAACCGACTCTAATGTATCTCCTTTTAATGACACTACTAAAGTAGAGGGAATTGGTCTTTACCAAGCCCTCGAAAAGCCATGAAAATCTTAAGTTGGAACTGCCACGGGCTTGGCAACCGAGGCGAGTTCGTGCCCTCCAAGATAAGTGTTGGAGGGAAAGGCCGAATTTTGTCTTTATTATGAAGTCAATGGTAGATAGTTCTGTTTTAAATAAAATAAAAAATAGGTGTGGTTTTTCTAATGGCTTGTGTATTAGTAGTGCTGGTAACTCAGGAGGGGTGGGGCTTTGGTGGAATGATGTGAATGCTAATGTTGTTTCTTTTTCTAATCACCATTTTGATGTGACCATTCTTGATGACAATAACTCACCTAAATGGAGAGGTATTTATGGATGGCCCGATCAAGCTAAAAAACATAAAACATGGTAGTTAATGACATCCCTGAAATCTCAAAACAATCTACCATGTATTATGTTTGGAGATTTTAATGAAATAACGAGTGTTTCTGAAAAAGAAGGGGGTGTTCCACAAAGTGAGAGGTTAATGGATGCTTTTAGGGTGGCTATAGATCAATGCCGGCTGCGTGACTTGGGTTCAAAGGAAATATATATACATGGGAAAAAGGAAACTCTGTATCTACCTATGTTCATGAAAGACTTGACAGGTTCCTTGCGGATGAAGAGTGGATAACTCTATTTCCAGACTATGAGGTCCAAAATTTCCCAATTTACAGTTCGGATCATGCGCCTATTATGGTCTACTTGCGAAAGAATGTTGATATGGTTAAGGGTGGGAAGTGCTTTAAATTCGAACCTCTTTGGCTGTCTAAGGAAGAATGTGGGGAGATAGTAGATAGAAGTTGGAAGGCTAGTTTGGAGTTTTGTATTGATAGGAAGATTGCACGATGTGGGGAGGACTTAAGTTCATGGGCTAGGATGTCGTTTGGCTCTATTAAGAAGAAAATCAAGGAGACCGAGGCCCGTCTACGTGATTTAAAGGAAGGGGCGATGGATGGTGCAACACTCGAGCAATGTAAAAATCTGTCCGAACAGCTTGATTCCCTATACATGCAAGAGGATTCCTTCTGGTTTGCTAGGGCCAGAGCTAACAAGCTTAAGGATGGAGATAAAAATACAAAATATTTCCACCACAAAGCTAGTCAACGGAGGGCTAATAACCGTATCAATGGACTTCTTGACTCGAATGGTGTTTGGATGTCACAGCGTGTTGATCTGGAACGGTTTATTGAAGCATATTTTGGAGACCTATTCGAGACAAGCTCCCCGACTGGATTCCAGGGTGCGCTAGAGGGTATTGAGGAGTTGGTATCGTAAGAGATGAATGAAGTACTAAATCGTGAACCCATAGCTGAGGAAATTAAAAATGCTCTTTTTCATATGCACCCCAACAAAGCTCCCGACCCTGATGGTATGCATGCTTTATTTTTTCAGAAATTTTGGCATATTATTGGAAATGATATTATTGCATTTGTTAAAAAATGGTGGAGGGGTGAGGCGGACTTAAATTTTGTTAACAATACTTGTGTGGTGCTTATTCCGAAGTGTAAAGAACCGAAATTGATATCAGAATTTAGGCTAATTAGTTGCTGCAATGTTATCTATAAAATTATTTCGAAAATGATGGCCAATAAATTGAAAGGGTTCTTAAGGAAGGTAGTATCACAAAATCAGAGTGCATTTGTGCCCAAACGTCTCATCACTGACAATGCAATTGTTGCTTGAGATCTTCCACAACATGAAAAGGGGTAGGGAATGGAAGGAGGGTAATATCGCCTTGAAGCTAGATATGAGTAAGGCCTATGATCGTGTGGAATGGTCTTTTTTGAAGATGGTTATGAACAAAATGGGGTTCTCCGGCGAATGGATAGGCCGTGTTATGTCATGTCTAAAGAGCGTTAATTTTTCTTTTAAAATTAACGGGAAAATTTCAGGGACTGGTACTCCAACGAGAGGGCTGAGACAGGGCGATCCTACTTCCCCATACTTATTCCTTCTCTGTGCTGATGCATTCTCAACTATGTTGAATAAAGTAGCGACAAATAACCTCATTCATGGAGTAAGGGTATGTAGAGGAGCCCCTAGAGTTTCTCATCTGTTCTTTGCTAACGACAATATTCTCTTTGCTAGAGCTAATGTGCAGGAATGTTCCGTAATAGCTGACATTATCAGCAAATATAAGAGGGCATCGGGTCAGAAAGTCAATCTTAGCAAAACTGATGTAACCTTTAGCAAGAATGTGAAAACGGCTCGGAAGGAAGAAATTATTGGGATCCTTGGGGTTCAAGAGGTTGAACAACATTAAAAATATTTGGGGCTCCCCACTATTATTGGAAGATCGAAGAAGGTGATTTTTGCAGGGCTTAAAGAGAGACTATGGAAAAAAAACTCCAAGGGTGGAAGGAGAAATTGTTGTCAAGATCGGGGAAGGAAATACTTATTAAAGCTGTAGCTCAAGCTATCCCGACATATATGATGAGTATTTTCAAAAGTCCTGATTCTCTGATTGATGAGTTCCATTCTCTCTTGGCTACATTTTGGTGGGGTTCTACAGATACGGGAAGAAAGATGCATTGGCAAAGATGGGATCTGTTGTGTCAACCGAAGGGAAAGGGGGGACTGGGCTTTCGTGACCTCCGTTACTTCAATCAAGCATTACTGGCAAAACAGTTTTGGAGACTCCACCACAATACAAACACCCTGTTACACAAGATTCTAAAGCCAAAGTACATTAAAAACTGTGATGTCTTGGAATCAAGTGTAAGTTTTGGTCCCAGTTACGTAGGGAGAAGCATGTAAGGGGCGAGATCATTTCTACTTGAGGGGTTGAAGTGGAGGGTAGGTAATGGAAGCGCAATTAGTGTATGGAGAGACGCATGGCTGCCTGGAAACACCTCTGCATTGGTCCCTAGCCCATCAGTTGATAGTGACCCAAACTTGAGAGTGATTGAGCTAATTGACCACGACAGAAATTCGTGGGATGTGGAGGCTGTGAACAGGACGTTTATCGAGGCGGAACGTGCTGTAGTTCTTTCTATACCCCTCTCAAACAGATGTCCGAGAGACACGATGTTCTGGTGGCTAAGGAAGAATGGCGAGTATAGTGTGAGATCGAGGTATTGGTTTGGGAAATCGGGGGGCTTGCTAGATGTCAACAATACGTGGGATGTGGTGTGCAGGTTAATAAGGGATATGAAAGCTCCCCCGAAGCTGCGTCATTTCCTGTGGAGGGCTTGCAAGGGGTTCCTAGCAGTGCGAGAGAGGTTGGTGTATCGACCTATTTTAGATGATAAAATATGCTCAATATGCAGGGGAGGGGAGGAGTCTGTTATCCATACATTGTTTGAGTGTATGGCTGCTCGTGAAATCTGGGTTGATAGCACGTTCAGCGAGGTCCTAAATCAATCCCCTACGGATAGTTTCACCACAAGGCTCCTTTGGCTGAAAGAGAAGGTGTCGAAGGAGGGTTTGTTGGAGATTGCAGTACTTTGTTGGGCGGCGTGGTCTTGCAGAAACAAGGCTATATTTGCTAATGAGCCTTGCAATCCGAAAGTATTGGCAGCAGGCTTGTCAAAGATGGTGTATGATTACAACCTTTACGCTGAAATGGTACACCATCCTACTATGCATAAGGCTCCCCCCGCTGCTACCTATTGGAGCAAGCCTCCTCTTAGGGTGATTAAAATAAACTGCGATGCCTTCGTCAAGGACACGTCCAAGATAGGTGTGGTGGTAAGGGATGACAGGGGCGCCATCATTACTGCTGCTGTAAGGAAAGGGGGAGACGGCTGGTCTAAGGAGGTAGCAGAGGCAGCAGCAGTGGCTTTTGGTTTACAAATAGCGAGAAGACTGGGGTATAGAAGGATCCAAGTGGAAAGCGACGCGTTAAATGTGGTTTCATGGGTCAAGCTCAAGGCTAATGGTTGCTCTCCTTTCTTCCTTATAATAGATGATATTGTAGCTCTCTCTTTATTGTTTGATTTCTTTTCTATTTCGCATGTTAGAAGGTCGGGAAATACTGTAGCCCACTTAGTGGCAAGGTGGGACACAAATAACTGTGATGAGTTGGTTTGTTTTGGTCCGTTTCCGTAAAGCCTATTGACTTTGGCGGAACTTGATCTTTCTTAATAAATTTTCCTGACGCTTTCTTCAAAAAAAAAAGCTCATCAGTAATTGGGGTTTCAAAAAAAATAAAAAAAATACTAGTCTTTGTCAATAGAGGGCTTGATCTTGGGATCTAAAATCCCAAACAATGGGATTCAAACCACTATGACAAGCGTTAAGTACAACTATACATGTAATAAGAATATTATTTATTCTAAAAATTTATAGGGGTCAGCAGTTAAAATAATAGGCCACGAAATTGGGACTTGTTTTCAATCATTGCTTGAAACACAGTCATGTAGTTTTGCCCTTGTTTTCAATCATTGCTTGTTTTGTTGGGACTTTTGAGGATGATATATTTTGGGGGTTGTTAAACGTCGCTTCCAATTTACTAGGCGTCGCTCGCATTTTTTCTTTGAAATTCCGTATTTACCCTTCGTATATAAATACTCACGACACTTACAACACATTTCACGCTCATATTTCACTCTCATTTTATCTCTCTAAAATTTAAAAATCTCTCTAGAAATTAAAAAAAAAAAAAGCAGAAAATTCACAAACACCCCCAACCTATCACCGACAGCCACCAATCCAAGGAGGGTAGAAGAAATCTGGCGATGGCGGACCCGTGGCGAATCAGGGTGACGTACGGTGGACGAGGCAGCGACACCTGAGGCGAACAGGTTAGTGTTTGTTGTTGTTATTATTACAACAACAACAACAACAACAACAACAACAACAACAACAACAACAACAACAACAACAACAACAACAACAACAACAACAACAATAATAACAATAACAATAACAATAACAATTATAAACCACATATTTTGTGCAACATACTAATAACAACAACAATAATAATAATAATACAAAACAACAACAACAACAACAACAACAACAACAACAACAACAACAACAACAACAACAGTAATAATAAATGATTTGATTAATTAATCAATAAAATACAAAGAAAAAAAAAAGGACTTCCGCCCAGAACATCCGGATCCTCCATGGAGGATCCGCCTAAGATTTCCGGATTCGGAAATTTTAGGCGGATCCACCATGGGGGATTGAGATATTTTAGGGGGAAGTCCCCTTTTCAAAAAAAAAAAAAAAAAATTCGACGACTTACAGAATCCGACGATGCCTCCGGTGTACGATCGTTGTCGTCGTCCATCATCCTAAACCCGTCGCTAAAGCTTAATAAATTTTTTTTAAAAATTATTTGATTAATTAATCATTAAAATACAAAGAAAAAAAAAAAGACTTCCGCCCAGAACATCCGGATCCTCCATGGAGGATCCGCCTAAGATTTCCGGATTCGGAAATTTTAGGCGGATCCACCATGGGGGATCGAGATATTTTAGGCGGAAGTCCCTTTTTCAAAATATAAAAAAAAAAATTCGACGACTTACAGAATCCGACGATGCCTCTGGTGTACGATCTTTGTCGTCGTCCATCGTCCTAAACCCGCCGCTAAAGCTTAATAATTTTTTTTAAAAAAAAAATATCGGACTTTTGGTGGTGGGCTCGGGAATTTTGGGTTGGATGTGGTGGGCTCGGGAATTTTTTTTAATCAAGTAGTGGATCGAATGTGCTCGGGAATAATATTAAAATGCTCGCGAATCTTTTTAACCAAGTGGTGGAGCCTTATATAGTCCAAGTTATGAAAAGAGCAAAATGGTCCTTTCATGTCAAAATGGGAGCGATCCCTGGTAAATTGAGAGCGACATTTAGCAGTTCACTATATTTTCTTCTTTAGTGTTACCATGTCATCGATTTGCCGCCTCTGTGATTTCACCACTCAAATGGTACCACATTAACACCATAATAGGTGGATGAATTTATCCCAAACAGTCATGTAATACACAGGCGGTGTTAGGAGAGGCATTCTATTAATTAGGCTTATTATATTATGTCATTTATGAGAGAAGGATCTAATCTAACCCTCAATGCTCACATGTATCACATACATGATGACGACCAATAAAGTATTAACTCTAATAAGCGTACAATTAAGATAATTTGTTGTATTCGAAAATGAGAAAATTTCAATCATATATATAACTAGAACTTAGAAGTACTTCACGAAATCAACATAAGAGCCTCTGCAAATTAGGAACCAAACATATTTGAGATTTGATGACATTACCAATATTAGAAAAGGAGCACGTGGTAGCTTTTAGATGGTACGAATAGATACTATA